CGTTTAATCTTGTGCTCTCACTCCAGTTCTTCGGGTTTCCTACTTTCCTTATGCCCCCTGAGTCCAGCTGGAAAGCAGAGATAAGTTTATGATTATGAAATAAAAGATAAATAATAACTGTGTCATTCTTATTTGGGTTATGTCTCTGGACACAAATCTATTAGAAATTTAAGTGAATTTGAAAATTTTAAGGTTTCTAAATCCCAACTTTGCACTCACATGATGCCAAATGTCAATGTTGTTGAGCCTATGATGCCTATTAGTGTGGGCAAGGGCATGAAAAGTGACTGGAAAATGGAGTTCGACTCATTTGCTAATACAGGTCTCCATGCAAAGGACATCTGGCTCTTTTAAACAGCACAACCTCAAGAGTTCTGTTATGTAAGGGCCTGTGTATGTGTGAGTGGGGCTCTTCTCGATGCTAGACATGGTAGGCTTTTGAAGACTTGAACCCTGCCATTTGGAATGCTGCAAAGGGCGGGGCATATTCCCAAGAACACATGTTAAGAGTAGGTATGCTGTTAAGATTCTGATCCATAAAGTTCCTTCAAACAATGTTAAATTTTGAGAATTGCAATCTCACAAAATGTATGAATTGTTGAATGGGAAACCAATTTGCTATGTAAATTTTGACCCAACTCAGAAAGTTATATAACCACTTCAAAAAAAGTTCTTTCCCCTTAGACTTGAAGTATCTCTAGTCATTTGAGCTCAATATTAAGTGGGAACCTGGCCAGCCAGTAAGACTATAGGCCTCTACCCACACCATGGTGGGTCCTGGTGAGCTGAAAGAAACTAGCTGCCTATTTCATAGTTTTGGAAGTAAGTTGTGGGCAGATTACCTTAGGAAGGGGGGTGGTCAAGGGAACAACATGGACAAAAGTTCCTCCAGAATTTCATTCCAATCCACTGACCTTTTTAGGTAATGGGCCGGGATATCTGCAGAATTTCTAAACTGACTAGATCCCTATTCTAATTAAAAATTTTTATTGTATACATGACTACAGTTGTGATATGCCCTTTTGTAGTAAATGTTTCCCAATACTATAAATGGTATTTTATAAAAGTATTTTTGGCCCCAATAAAATGAATTAAAATAGTTTTTTTTTGTTTGGGACCACTTATTTTTCATTAAGATTTGGCTTGAATATCAGCCTTTCCCAATATCCACACCAAATTATGCACCTGCATTCTGCTTGTGAGAAAGGCCACTTAGGGAAATTTGTCTAGTTTTTAAACAAAACCACACACCCTTTAAGCAAAACCCTATTTCCTCTTCTAACTCTCATAACCTCTAGTATATTTTCTTGTTTCATGTAAATGTGATTATATAGTACTCGCTCTTGTAGGACTAATGTGTGCATATTTACAAGTTTCATATGGCATGTGTCAATTACATTTTGGCTATCGTGAAAAGTACTGTCATGGACATTGGTGTACAGATTTCTGTTTTTCCCTATATACTTAGGACTGCAGCACAATTTTTGTTCAACTTTTTGAGGAACTGCCAAACTATTCTGCAGAGGCTGTATCATTTTACAATCCCACC